AAAATTTATTAATAAATTTATTAGTTGTAACTAAAAGATTTTTAGTTCATATTTTATAGTATAAAATAAATAAAAAAAGTAGAAACAAAAAATCAATTTTATTTCATGATTTCAGAGCAGAGCACATAATCAATGAGGACAGAGAGATAGTATTATGAGCTTTGCAAAAACAATGATATCTCCTGAGAAAAACAAAATAAAAAAGAAGAGAGGTATGATTTTTAGAAGGGTCTGGACCAATTTAATTACATGATTTCTATTATTAATCCAAACATATTATTTAACTTTACCGATTCAATGTGTTCAACACATTTAATAATTATTGCAGGTTGAATAGATTAATGTTCCGTACTATGTGGTGTTATGTATAGTATTGTATATTATGAAGAAGGAGCACGGTGAGTTTATTATGTATATCCTTTTTTGGCATCTCATAATTTGCATTGAATACATGATTTAGCTGATTGAATTAGTTTGTTAATCTCTTAGCCAAATTAAGGAATCTAGTTTGCCTGTCCTCTAATCACTTTTATATTTATCATATTTACTGTAGATATCGTAGATTATAATTCCTGTTATCTTTAAAAACTTTAATACACAATTAAAATATACTAATATATAATTTGATTCATATAAATAAAATTTATATACATAAAATGAGGCAGTTTCATGGTCTGAAACAGTAAGGTTAGACAAGTAAAATGTCTTTCAAAATAAAAATAAATATAATGTCACTGAAATAATTCATCAATTAAAAATAAATAGTTTAATTTTAACAAATTATATTTACTTTTTCAAATATTAAATGTATGCGTATGTACATAAGACGTATTCACTAAAAAGATTATTTGATGAGAAGTGATCATATATTCTAATTTTTTTCTGTTAGTTAATAATTGTTTATTTGTTCTAAATATGTAGAGTTGATTTATATTTTATACTTTTCCTATATATTATTACTTGGAGTTTAATTAAATATATTATTATTGATGTAAAAATGTTATTTAGTTATCAAAATTTATTAATTTTTACATATATACAGGCAATATAAATTCTCTCTAGTAGAAAATTAAGAAAACTTAAAAAGTATAGTATAGTCCGGTTAGCTGTTATCCATATATATCTCCACCGAAAGTAACATTATCCTTGGTTCCTATTTGCTCAATTGGAATAGAATAAAGTTAAAAAAATATATAAAAAAAAAATAAAAAGAGAGAGAGAGAATCTATCATGTGGAAAAACTTCTCCTCTTAACAAATCTATATATACAAAAACACATCACAACATTATTACTTGTCACTGTACATTTTAGTTTTCCTTCATCATGACAAAGAAATAAACAGTTCCTTAGCAGGAAAAGAAAATAAATAGCAAGAATAAAGGTGAGATCAAATGGGGTTTTTAAGAACATCTTCTTCCACAACCTCCTCTGATCATCACCTTACTGCAGCTTCAACTTTTCCATCAATAATGCAAGACCCAGGAAGTTTCAGACAACAAATTGTGTTGCAGATTCCAGAATGCACACTCCATCTGATGGACGGAGGAGAATCCATGGAGCTTGCCAGGGGGGAGTTCTCGGTTGTGAAGATATTGGATGATAATCAGGTGTGTATGACCACCATTATTCGTGTTGGTGGTGATGTTCAATGGCCCTTGACCAAAGATGAACCAGTGCTGAAGCTGGATTCTTCTCACTATCTCTTTACTTTACCCATGAATGATGGTGATCCTCTCAGCTATGGCGTCACTTTCCCGGAGCAGTGTGTAAGTAGCAGCAGCTTGGGGTCTCTGGATTCTTTCTTGAAAGAAAACTCGTGTTTTTCCGACTCATCCTCAACCACCAAACGCGGTCTTGACTGGAAGGATTTTGCTCCTAGTATTGATAATTATAATAATATTTTGGCTAAGGCGATTGCAGGAGGCACTGGTCAGATTGTTAAAGGGATTTTCATATGTAGCAATGCTTACACCAACCAGGTTGTTTCCTGTTTTTAAGTTATGGAAACTGATTCTTACTTTCCTAAAAAAGAATAATGATAACAATAATAATGAAAGAAATTGCATGCATCCAGGTGCAGAAGGGAGGAGAAATGATTGTTGCTCAAGCAGATCATCAGGAGAGAAACCGCAGTTTTGCACCGAATGAAACAAACAAGGGAGGGATCAACAAAAGCTTAAAACGGTATAAATCCATCCAAACCATTAATTTTCATTTTATATATAGTTTTAGATTTTTTTTGGCTTTTTCCTGAACTCTCTTGTAGAATTTTTTGGCATTTAAGTTAATGATTTAAAGAGTTTTTAGATTCAGCATCTATTACATATTATGATGATGTGATTTGATTCTGAAAATATTTTATTTATATGCTAGAAGAAATTATGTATGTATTGTGAGAAATACTTTAAATATATCATGAGATATATTTCGAATAAAACTTTAATAATTTTTTTTTTTTATATAAAAGTTTATAATTTTATTGATGATATCTTCTCAAATTTTTATCATAATGAAAAAGTTTTTTTTTTTTTTTTTTTTTTTTCTATTTTACCCATAAATGTATGTATAATTTTTTAATTATGTTTTTTTTATTTTAATTTTTTCTTTATTTTGTGTGATTGTGCACATTTTTTAGGTTAATTTTCTCAGTATATTATGTGTAATGAAAAACAAACTTTAATTAATAGAGTAAATTTTAATTAATTAATTTTCCTCCATAGTGTGCGAAAGGTTCAAAGACGACAGAAGGTATGAGCAAATCATTGCTCAAGGGGGTGAATGTGGTGGCTGACGCTGTCATGAATCCTTTGTTTAAGTCCAAACCAGGAAGATCATTCTTTACCATGCTTCCAGGAGAAGTCATTTTGGCTTCCCTTGATGCTGTTAGTAAGTATCAATACTAATTTTTTTTTCTTTTTATTTAAGAAAAAATTACACCAGTTTTACTCTTTTATATATCCCAAATTTTCTCCCATGGAAACTGCAGATAAGGTTATTGATGCGGCTGAAGCTGCTGAAAGACAAACCCTATATGCCACCTCTCAAGCTGCAACAAGAGCAGTCAGTCAAAGGTGCTTATAATCTATTTTATTTTTAAAATAAAAAATTTACATTTTATGAACTTTATTTTTAAAATTTATATGTAAATAAATTAATGTGGATGCAGATTTGGGGAGAGTGCAGGGGAGGCAACAGAGGATATTCTTGCAACTGCAGGCCATGTTGCTGGAACTGCTTTGAATATGTTTAAGATACGAAAAGCTCTGTGTCCGTCATCATCTGTTACCTCCGGAATTGTAAAACAAGCACGGAAGAACAAAGTGAGATCAGATTTAAAAACTTAAGACGTTCAAAATCAAAGTCTACTAAGAAAGAAACCAAGATGAATTGTGTGAAAATGAAGATCTATTAAGAAAATAACCCAAGAGGACTTGGGTGGGTTCCTCATTGCACATTTGGTTTGTGGAATCAATTAAATAAATAATTGTTATTTGTAATTATAATTATATTTTCATCTGTATTATTTTCATAGTTTATGTATGTCCTTTGCATCTTCTTATAGTATCTAATGCACAAAATTTATAAGATACTTTATATTTCATGTGTTATAATACTTTGTTAAATTTATAATCTTAAATTTATCTTATTTCACTTGTCAGATATAAAATTAAAGTGGGAGCAAGGTTAGTTAGTTTTGACTTATAATTAGATTAAATCATATCAGATCGGTGATCAATTAATGATAGAATTTAGATTGAATAACCTTTTAATTTTAGTTTGGATCATACCGCTAATTTTCAATTTGGTTTAGGACACAAGTAGATTGTTTTTTCTAAAAAATTTTAATAAAAAAATAATAAATAACTAAAATAAAAATAAAAATTATTTCTTTATTTTTTATAAATTTTGATCTAAATCGATCTATTCCAATTCAAGTTAGGATCGAAAGGACCATTATTTTCTCCATATATTTAGGTCAAAACCCAATTAAATATTATTTGGCTCGACTTAATATAAATCAATTTGTTCTGTTGTGTCTACTTTTCTAGCCCAAACCAAAATTTAAACACCCCAAAATGAGTATAAAAGTGAGAAAGAATGTTTCAAGTATTGTGTAACACTCCGAAAACTTTCGTACTTAATTTGTAATATGAATCCCTATTTATTGGGGCCCTAATGCCGTTTAAACTTGTTAATATTTCGTATTTTAATTTTGTATTTTATTTGCTTAAATAGTTATTAAAATTATTTTTTTTGTAGGCAATTTACTTTTTTAAAATTAAATAAAAAATTTTTAGAAAAAAACAGAGAAAAAACGAAGGAAAATCCCGGAGATACACCCACAAAAGAGATTCAGCCCACGTGGGCTCTGCACATTGCACACGTGTTCGTGCGCACAGCCAACATAGGACGTGCGTGCAGCCCATCCGCGTAAGGTGCGAGGCGCGATCTACGTGCGCGGCTCTACACGCCCTGTGCTCGCACTGTTCGTGCGATAGATCTTCGCACAGTAGGCCTGTGCATGGTAGGCTTGCGCCTAGTAGGCTTGCAATGTGTGGCAAGTTAGGGCAGCGTGCGTTGCCTTGGGTAGTGCGTGCTGCCCCCATTGGGCGTTGTGCATCGCCTTCGAGCTGTGTGCGTCACCGGCTTAGGCGGCATGCCATCGTCGTTTGGGTGGTGTGTCTCTAATTTTTTGCGCCACCATCACATCACGTCGTCCATCCGTCGGTCACATCTGTCGATCATCACATCTCATTTTTTTCACATTGACTTTCTTTCTCTTCATTAGATTTGGTCACTTGGCACAAATTTAACGGTTCCCATTTTTTATAAATAGGGATCCTCACTTCACTATTTTCTCATCATTTTCATTTCATTCTTCCATCCACCAAAGAGTTTGAGAGAGAGAGACTGATTTAGAGAGAGAAAGAGAGGAGGAGAAAAAGAAAAAACATAGGAAATACCAAAGTTTCGGTAAAGAGTTTATTATTTACTTTTAAACGTTATAAGGAGTATTTTTATATTAAAAATTAATAAATTTTAAATTAAATAGTTGCATAATTTAATCATATGCTTAAATGAAATAATTTACATTGATTGAATATTTTATAAACATATGTAAATCGATTTCTCGCATGTTTAATTTAAATGATTAAATGTTTGAGATAAATAATGATATGTACTACAATATACGGTAGTAAAGTGATTAAGTATAAAATGATATATAGACATGAGAAATATGTATTCGTATTAACATGATGACTCATAAAGTATTTCGTTAGACTTTTTATCTCTGAAAAATTTCTATTTCTCCCTCATTTAGTCCAAAAAGACGTGAGAGAACCACTCTCTGTGGATGATGGCGTACCATCTGACGAGAAGGGTGATGAGATATAATTGTAAGGGTCACATTTGACAAAGTACGAACGTGATCATAGTTAACATATAGGACCATTATGGTTGGTATAGTTGTGGTCATAGATCGTGTCATAGTTTGGTAAGCCGTAAATGTGTTGTTAGTTTAGCAAACCACAAATTGCTGATATATTATGAAATGAATTGGTCATTCCACATGGGTAGTCAAGAATCTGTATTGTCCTCAGTAGATGAAAGTTGTAACGACTTCATACGAAGAATAAAATGAAAAATAGTGCATATCATGATTTGTTTAATTTTCTCTATTTTCAATATGATTGATCTGATTGACATGAAATTACTTTGACTTGACTTTTCTTTATTAAATCAAATCGATTTCATAATTAATAAAGAACCCTAATGTGACTCTTGGTGGTAAGTAACAATGGTATTTGTAATTATATTTGAAATCTTATGATATTATTTAAATACTATTTTTTTACTGAGTATATGGAACTCATATCTTTTCTATGCCCCCTCCAGATGAGGGAGATAGTAAGGAACCGATCGCTGACCTACCTCTTGAAGCCTTATCCATGAACTTTTATAAGTGCATAATTCTATTGAGTCCATATTTGTAGAGACTTGTAATTAATTTTATTTCTGTCTCAGTATTATATAGAACTCTATTATTATTTTATAAGGGATTGTAATTATTTGTTCCTCTACATATATTTATTTACTATGCGTTCATAATCTGTTTTTGTATCTTACATCCATATGTCTTAATTTGTATTTGGGATGTCACATATAGAGTGAGGATGAAGAAGGGTTGCTAAGTAATGAGGCCGAAGTCTCGTGCCTATACTTGCTCAACAATCGTCTCTAATATGATTTAGTGTTGGACATAAAAAATCAATCATAATTCAAGTTTAGTTTTTCTTATCTCTTAAATGTTCAAACTATAAAAGATTAATATAAAAATTCATTTATAAATCTATACATAATTAACTTCAATAATGTGTAAATTGTATTAAAATGCTAAAAACAATGAATGTATATGAAATTCTATATAAAATTAAAACAACACATTATTGGTGTCTCTTGGCCTAAAATGTGTTCCTTTTAAATCTTTATTTATTTTTTATTCCATTTTTCTCATTTGTATCAAAAAAAGAAAAACAACATATTATAAATTTCCTAGTTTTAAAATACAATACTCATTATTTTTTAGTTAAAATAAATATAGATTTATAAATAAATGTTACATAAATTTTAAATTTGTTCTAAAAATAAAATAATTTTTTTTAGGGACACAAAAATTATAGAAGTAATATTTATCTTTTCTCTTAAAATACTTTTTAGGTGTGTTTAGATAAATGTTTATTAATATATGGTATGGTATTGAGATGGTTTTACTTTGTTTGAATCCACTTCCAAATACATGGTATGGTTTTTTGATGATTTTTGCAAGGTTCTCCAAACCACTATTTTCTCTACATTTTCAAACTACTGAATCTGTAGTTTTTTGTGGTAAAATTTTTTTCTTCTATTTATACCCTCATCAATTTTTGTTAATTTCTTTTTTACCCTTAATTATTTGTATCTACGATTTCATCTGTTCTTTTTTATGTAACTTCGGTCACTAAGCTATGCTCATTGACAGCTCAGGTTGAGCAACAGAGGGGTTGTGTTCAGTCTTCCCTTGACTCCCTCGAGACTAATGTTTCTGATATGAGTGTTAATGGTAAATTTCCACCTTTTCAACTTTAATTTGCGTTATTTTCTTTGCAAGATTTTATTTATTGAGTTTTCTGGATTCTGGGTATTCTTGCTTTTGTTGGTTTTTAGGGATTTTTAAGGTTTGAATGGAGATTTTTGGGTGTCGTTTCTAAGTTTTCTTTTCAATCCTCCTAGATGGCATTGAAGGGAATCTTTGGTGAAGGTGAATCTGGTAAAAATTTTAAATAAATTTAAGTTCTAGAAGTTAAACAACTAGCTTAGAGATGAGGTGATATTGTTGGCCTTATCTATATTGAAGGGCATATAGTGATACAACTAAGATAGAAGAAACTGAAGAAATTGGACAGTGAGTTTTTTTTTTTTTTTAATTTCAATAAGTTAACTTGACCTATTAAACATCTGCTTAAGATGAAAGTAACAGATGATTCTCTCATATGGCAAAGCACAACCTGTTAGAGAAGATAAAGTTATGTTGTATCAGTTTCCTAATCTCAA